TCACTTTTACATGCTCTGCTTAAGACATTCTGAAGTGAATGCTTACATAAGAGGACAAGTGGCTTATTGGAAATCACTGAGCATCTTGCCCTGGATAACTGAAACTTCTTTGTGTTTTCCTAAAAGATTGTAAGCCATCTGAAATCCAGTAATGCTCATCTAAGTTATGGTATAAAGTTATCACAGTGTCTTTCAAAACCACCAAAACATCGTTCTCCAGCTCTAAGTTATAATTTGTGTTGGAGTCTCACTCAAGTCTGAGAGGAGACACTGTGAAAATAGTAATGTGGGGTTCCTCCTGCACGTCTCAGCAAGAAAACTTGACATATGCAGAAGTAAACCAGCAAAAACAGTGTATATGGCTAAAATAAGTCTGTAGTTGTCTGATTTAGTGATTCAATTAATTGATCAGAGTTAAGGGAACATTAAACCACCCTGATGGCTAACCAGCAGCATTAATCCAGTGCAGACTCCAGCAAGGAGCCCTTTCAGCCCTTGTTTATTCCCACTGGAAGGACTGGAGAGCCGGCTGTGTCCTATGTCACCCATCCTTTGGGGCATAGTCAGTATCCCTTGTAAGGCAGGAGCAGTGCTTGCAGCAGGCTGAAGCCCTGCCTGTGCTGGAGAACTCTTGCTTCACAACATACCCAACGTGCCTCTTTACAAACCCAGTCTGCACTGTAATCCAGAACTGTCTCTTGCAAAGACGTTGACACAATAGCCAGACTTTCTGGCAGCAGGCATGTGGCTGAGGGGGGAAAATTGTATGGTTTTGGCCAGGTTTCCAAACGGAAAAAATGCCTTCTAGACCTGAAGGAGTGATTAGCCCCAGCCTGAGCAAGTAATTCGGGACAGGTAGGACAAAGCATAGACATATAACCATAACAAAAGAAGTGGAACAACATCCCTGGAGGGACAGGGCTTGGCAGATATCAGCATCCCAGCCCACTTCTGACAATCTGAAGCATGGAGGAGCGAAGGGGAAGCAGAAAGACCTCGTGCAATGAAATGCTTCAGCACCAAACCCGCAGGAAGGAGGGCAGGGAGGGCCTGGTGCCCACCCCCTCACACCTCCACCCTTGCCGGCTGTTTCCAGCACATGGCTCATCGAGAAGATTAAAACCAAGCCTGTAGCTGCTCTTCCTCCACTCTTGTGTCTGCAAATTGACTGACTTATGCAAATCTTCCTGTTCTTAATCCTGTGGTTGGTTTTGTGCTGTCATGGCACAAACCATGCCAGGCTGTGTCAGAAGCTTCAGTAGGTCCGTGTCCTGCCCCGGCACCAGGATCAGGTGCCTCTTCTCTTCATTGTGGTACAAAATTAGGGAATGGTGTTGTCCTAGGATGTTTTTAACTGAGGCAGCTAACAGTTTGCATGTAATTGTACATAGGGATTTGCTATTTTATTTACCCAATTTACTGTAAAGGGGAAAGGAGGGTACTGCACCAAGCTCAGCAGCGCTTTCCACTGAGAAGCAGGTGTTATGGTGAAGCAGTTACAAGGCGTTGAGCAGATCTGCCTTCCCTTCATCCCCACTGTGGTCTGTATGTTTGAGCCCTCTATACTCTTATTGATGAATGCAGATAATATAATTATATCCAAATATTTCTCATCTCTTAAAAAAAAAGCAAACCAAGACAGAAAATACAAGGGCTGGACTCAGAGTGCCAAACTGTTGGCTTGTCAGTGTTTTGACCAGCTCACATTTCATTATTAAAATGCTGCTTTTTTTTTTTTTTTTTTTTTTTTTTTTTTTTGCGTATTTTGACCCTGAATGCAGGTGTTTTCAACCTCCTGACAACCCAGAATGCAGTTGCTCCAGACAAATACATTAAGGACACGTGTGCTCTGAGTCTCTGAGGTGCTTTCAGAGTTTCATCAGAGCCCACGCAAGTCGGTGTCACTTAGCAAACACCAGCAGCAGCAGCAGTCAGATGAAAAGCCTGGTAGCAGAGCAGTTGTGAGGGTCAAGATGGGGCAACACCACTTTGCAGTCCTGCTGAAATTCCAGTTTAGCCACTGAGGTATGAGAGTTGTACAGCAGACAAAAGCAGGAGTGAGCTTCAAGTCAACTTTATTATAGTGGTTAGAAATACCACAGAAGAGGTGTAGATATTGTTTATTCCTTTGGCACCTGCGCAGCTTTCCCATCCATCCTTCACAGAAGCAGCTTCCCTGGCTGTGGAAAACAGAAGTGTCATCAAGTATCGGACTTCTGTGAAAGCTCACTTGCCAGATCCTAGGCAGTCTGGTTTCACTGTCTAAAGGCTGAGGCAGAATAGAAGGCTCCATGATGTTTCCTACCTTGTTCAATATGCATACATAAGCTAATTCACCTAGTATTGGCACAGTTATGGTATTTTTGCTTTTCTCAGAGGTGCAAGTCCAGTTATTCCACACTGCTGACTCTCCTAAGAGTTGCAGCATGGCAGTAACAGGCAGTAATGTTCTTTCTTCTTCTCCATTTGATCTGTCTCATCCCTGGCTTAGTTTATCAATCAGGTGTTGGTTTTGTTTGTTTGTTTGTTTGTTTTCAGAGAGGAATTGTCTCAGCAGCATTCCCACTAGGTTCTCAGATAACTGTGCAGCCAGTGAATTGTTTTTGCACTCTGCATAGCATCCTGGCTTCATTGTACCTCCTGTAGCAACTGCTGGGTAAAAATCACACATGCCCTTTGCAAACAGCCTAGGAATTCAAAATCATACACAATTTTCTGAGCATCTCTACACAGACTTTCAAAAGGGAATATTCTTTAAAAGAAATCAAAAGAGTCTTCTGTTCTTTGAATTTACAGGGGCCACTTTAATTTTTATTTTTTTTTAAAGATCTTGCATTCTTGTATATATGTTCATGACTTTGGGAGCTGGTTCATTCAGAGCTCTGCCAGGCTAGTTCCCACTGTTCTGTTGTGGCAAAAAAATAATAATAATAATAATAATATATATATATATATATATTCTGTGAGAGCACGCATCCTATTTCTTTATAAGTGTAGCCTGGGAGAGAGAGGGAGAGTTCTTGGCAGAAACTTTTGCATGAAGCAGTGTGATGGAGTAGCTAGGGAATATATTTCATGCTAATAAAGTTCCTCATTTGGTGTGAAAAGGGAGTGCTTTGTGAGTGGCAGCAGGTCTTTTTTTACCTTTTGACATTCTAACGTGACCCATAGTGAGGCATACGCCAGCATGTTTTTTCAGTCCTTTCCAAAGAGTTGCCAAAACTAAAGAGATTTTTTTTGTGACCCAGCAAGGTTGGCTGCAAGGTTTGTTTGTTTTTCCCTCTCCTGCTGGTTCCTACTATTCTCTTACTCCCACATCCTATCCGACTCTTGTTTTCAAATGCATTCTTCAGCCTTCTCCTTCCCTACCTACTGCATCCTGTTCTGCTTTCTGACTTCCTTTTCTTTTCTGATAGCTTTGCATTCTAGTTCCTGTTTCTTCTGGTCTCTGAGGGACAAGGAGTAAAACATTAATAGTTGCTGGAAAACCAAGTGAACGTGGCTGGTTTTATGAGTTTAGAGTTCAGGTGAGCGCTCCGGGAGACATTGCTGGTGTTTCACATTGTGCCCCGGAGCTCCCTGCACCACTTCATTGCTGGGGCAGCAGAGAGGAGTGTGTACCTGTGCTTCACCCACTGCCACGTACAGTACAGCATTTTACATAGCAGTACTGATTAAAGTCAGTCTTTGCTAAGATTTGGATCTTTCAGTTACTACAAGTCAAATTGTGGTGGCAAATTGCTCTGCTGTTACCACCTCATTGTTTGTCGCAGTTAAAAGAAGTTTAAATGTTTCAGGCATAGGGTGAGCAAAACAAGTGGACTTGAATCATTATATGGGAGTTGTAGGTGCTTTGACAGTGATTTGAAAAACGTCATTTCACAATAAATTCAGCATGCATGCCTGTATCTTTTCTAAATCATACTGCTATTTTTACAGTAACGCTCTTATATTAGTAGGGGATATATCCCTGCGTTATCTGTACCTCTTTATCAGTTGAGGATCACCATCCTCATAAGTCTGTGCTTTTAATATATGCAGATGTCAATGCAAATGTCTTGTGCTGATGTCAACGTATTCTCACTATAAATCACAGATATAAAGTACCTATGAGTGTGCTTCACTTTCCCATTGAAATGTTGCATAGGTAATGGGTAATGCATTTTCCCATGCTGGAAAATGTACGTCTATATTATTGTTCTGAGGATAGATCTGATTTGTGTTTTTATATTGTCTGAAAATACAACTTTAAAGGCTATAAAGTAGAGAATTTTCCAGCTACAGTTAGCTGTAGCCAAAGGTTTGATGGGTCTGACCCTTGTAGTCAACAATATCTGCTATTGGAAATGGAAATGCAACAGGGAGAACAAACCTCTCAACATAAGAATTGCTGTGCTGGCAAATTTCTCTTACTGCAAATTTCTTGTGCCTGGGATGCCCAGATGGTTATCTGTCATGTGCTAACATATTCTTTTGTCCAGCTGGTTTATTTATAACCAGGATTGATCCATTTATCTATAGTTGCATTAGTGTTTTTTTTCTTTTTTTCTTCTTCTTTTTTTTTTAAATCTTATTTTACACATTCTTAAGTATATAAGACATTACTGAGGAAATCACCTTTTAAAAAAAGTTCAGTATAAATGGATTGGTGAATAGATATATCTGTCCTGATATACCCTTATCAACATCATCCTAGCTGAGAAATAAATGTAAAGGAGTTAAAAACTGGTGTGTTTGCTATCTATACATGTATAAGATTTCACTGTTTTTCAGAATTCTAGATGATTATTTATAATCTTCTCTTAATTTTATAATTTAAAATAGTTTGTCTTGGGAATGTAAGTGTGATGGTAGTTACTTGTTGGAAGGCTACCTACATTATTAATGGAGAAAAAAAATCCTAATAAAATGAAAGTGAGTTAAAAATGGAGAAAAACACCAAACTGAGAAATGTGCCAAATATATATATACTTTAATGTGTTTGTTGTAACTTGTTTCAGGTTGAAGAAACTTCTTGAGCAGGAGAAGATCTATCAAGCTCGTAAGGAGAAAGAACATACAAAGAGACTCAGTAAACTAAGAGAAGAACTTGTCAAGCTCAAGTCATTTGCACTCATGCTGGTGGATGAAAGACAAATGCATATTGAACAACTTGGTCAACAAAGCCAGAAAATACAAGATTTAAATCAAAAACTAAAGGAAGAAGAAGAAAAGCTTAAAATCATTACTGCAAAAGCAAAAGAGGATGGACAAAAACTGATGAAGTTAGAGACAGAACTTGAACACAAAACATCATCATTTTCTCAAGAACATGAGGAGATGACGGCTAAACTGGCTAATCAAGAGTCACATAACAGACAGCTAAGGCTTAAGTTGGTTGGGTTGACTCGCAGAATAGAGGAGTTAGAAGAAACTAACAAAAGTCTTCAAAAAGCTGAGGAGGAACTTCAAGAACTAAGAGATAAAATAGCAAAAGGGGAATGTGGGAACTCTAGCTTAATGGCAGAAGTGGAAAACCTTCGCAAGCGTGTGCTTGAAATGGAGGGAAAAGATGAAGAGATCACAAAAACCGAATCCCAGTGTAAAGAACTGAAAAATAAACTGCAAGAGGAAGAGCACCATAGCAAAGAGCTGAAACTTGAAGTGGAAAAGTTGCAGAAGAGAATGTCAGAACTGGAGAAGCTGGAAGAGGCTTTCAGTAAAAGTAAGTCTGAATGCACCCAGCTACACATAAACTTGGAGAAAGAAAAGAATTTAACTAAGGATTTGATAAATGAGTTGGAAGTGGTGAAGACTCGAGTGAAAGACCTTGAGGCATCAGAAAGTAAGTTGGAAAAGGCTGAAATAAGCTTAAAAGATGACCTTACAAAGCTGAAGTCGTTTACTGTAATGTTGGTCGATGAACGGAAAAATATGATGGAAAAAATAAAGCAGGAGGAAAAAAGGGTTGAGGGTCTAAACAAGAATTTTAAAGTTGAACAAGGGAAAGTTATGGATGTAACAGAGAAGCTGATAGAAGAAAGTAAGAAATTTTTGAAACTGAAATCTGAAATGGAGGAAAAGGTGTCTAGTTTGACAAAGGAAAGGGATGAGTTGATTGGCAAACTGAAAAGTGAAGAAGAAAAATCCTCTGAACTAAGCTGTAGAGTTGACCTGTTAAAGAAAAGAATTGATGGTATGGAGGAAGTAGAAAGAGAAATTACGAGAGGTCGAACCAGAAAAGGACCAGAGCATGGTTGTCATGAGGACAACAAGATTAAGGAGCTTACCATTGAAATTGAAAGACTGAAAAAACGTCTCAAACAATTGGAAGTGGTTGAAGGAGATTTGATGAAGACAGAAGATGAATATGATCAGCTAGAGCAGAAATTTAGGACTGAGCAGGATAAAGCTAACTTACTTTCTCAACAGCTGGAGGAGATGAAGCTCCAGATTGCCAAAAACAAAGCAATAGAAAAAGGTGAAGCAGTGAGCCAGGAGGCAGAGTTGAGGCACAGGTTTCGTCTGGAAGAGGCTAAAAGCAGAGATTTGAAAGCAGAAGTTCAAGCTCTTAAGGAGAAAATCCATGAGCTGATGAACAAAGAAGACCAACTTTCTCAGCTTCAGGTTGATTACTCGGTTCTGCAGCAGAGGTTTATGGAAGAAGAAAATAAGAACAAGAGCATGGGACAGGAGGTTTTGAACCTAACAAGAGAGTTAGAGCTTTCTAAGCGTTACAGCCGTGCTCTGAGACCCAGCATAAATGGACGAAGAATAGTTGATGTTCCTGTGACATCCACTGGTGTGCAAACAGATGCTGTAAGCAGTGAAGCAGCTGAAGAAGAAACTCCAGCTGTGTTTATACGAAAATCCTTCCAGGAGGAGAATCATATAATGAGCAATCTGCGACAGGTAGGTCTGAAGAAACCCATGGAGCGTTCTTCAGTCCTTGAGAGATATCCTCCAGCGGCGAATGACCTTGCAATGAGGAAATCTTGGATACCATGGATGAGAAAGAGGGAAACTGGGGCTCAGGCAACTCCAGATAAAGGAGCCCGAGCCCATGGTAGTCCAGCGCATCCTGGCGAGGTTGTCCTTTCGCCAAAACAGGGTCAGCCTCTTCATATTCGGGTGACACCAGATCATGAGAACAGCACAGCTACTTTGGAGATAACTAGTCCAACCTCAGAGGAGTTTTTTTCAAGTACAACTGTCATTCCTACTTTGGGAAATCAGAAGCCACGAATAACCATAATTCCCTCTCCAAATGTTATGCCCCAAAAAGGAAAAGGCAGCGAAAGTCCAATGGGCCCAGACCGTTCTATGTCTCCAGTCACGATTACAACATTCTCCAGAGAAAAGTCTCCAGATGGAGGGAGAGCACCCTTCGTCGACAGACCTGCATCACCGATTCAGATTATGACAGTATCGACATCCGCAGCACCAACAGAAATCTCTGTTTCCCCTCAGTCACAAGACACGACCATGGGAAGGGCTGTCTTCAAAGTTACACCAGAAAAACAAACCGTCCCAACTCCAATCCGGAAATACAACGCCAACGCCAACATTATTACAACAGAAGACAACAAAATCCACATCCACTTAGGTTCCCAGTTTAAACGCTCTCCTGGTGCCACGCTGGATGGTGCAAATCCTGTGATAACAGTCAGACCAGTGAACATAGCAGCCGAGAAGGAGGTTGTCACTGGCACCGTCCTTCGATCACCCCGGAACAACCTGTCCTCGCGACCTGCAGCGAGCAAAGTGACAAGTACTATCACCATAACTCCTGTTACTACGTCTTCCACACGAGGAACACAGTCAGTGGTAAGCAGCATGGTCTCATGGTCTCATTTTGTAGTCTCTGTGGTAAGGAGAAGGGAGATCATAGTTTGGGTTTGGGACACCAGCAGGACAAGAATGGGTGGGAGGAGGAGAAAAACTCCTGACTTCCCTACATTTATTTCAGATATAAGCTTGAACATAAATTCAGAATTTACATGATTTCCCTGTGGTGGAAATGGATATTTTTATACCAGCATTGGACGCTAGTGTACTTTTGGCATTATCTCCCAAAGGATCAACTCTGAAAAGAAGTCCCTGCAAAGTTACTGAAAATAATGTCAATCCTGTAAAATTCCAACTGAAAGAAGGAGAGGGACAAAGAATGATGGAGCAAGAAACTCTATTTTTATTTTTCCAAAGTGCAAATTCTGACTCCTGAAAATACTCCTAATAGGTTTTGGCCCAGCTGGATAGTCTTCAGAGTCTGATCACGCAGGCTGATATTTCTTTGGTAGAATCCCCTTACATTTATAATTTAATTAGGATCTGCTGTACTGAACTCCAAAGGAATGAATAGCCAGACATGGTATCATTGCTTTTGGCTCCAAGTCTTTTTCAGCCAGCAAATACTAAAGCTCTTTCTGTTCCTCTGACATTCTCAACTTTTATAAGGGCCATGTTACAATAGTGCTTCCTCCACAATATTAGAATCATAGAATCATAGAATGGCTTGGGTTGGAAGGGACCTTATTTTTTGCTGATTTCTCTCTGTGTCATGGTGGTGGTTCCCTAGTTTCTTTTTCATAGAAAATCAAATTTAAATCAGTCTCTCACCTCTGTATTTAACCACATTGGACAAGATTTTTTGATAGGCCTACCACCAAGGTTTACTAGGCCTTGGACATCATTTTGCATTGTTTCAGTTGGGAAAGAAGGTTTTGACCAAAATATAAAAGCAGCAGTACTGAATTAGTCCAAAATATCATTTAGCTATACAGTAGCTTGTAGCAGATGCTTTGGGTAGAATTATTTTAAGTGAGTAGATTAAACATAGATTAATGTTTCCCTCAGTGTCTGTTCCCAATTTTTGGCTAGGTGGGTACTTCTTTCTGAACCAGAGCTTGTAGTCACCTCTTTGTGTTTAATAGACTGTGGTAGAGTGTTTTTTTTTTTTTTTTTTTTTTTTTGTTTTTTCAAGAATTCCTCATTCTTTATTACTGGATGTCTGTCCCTTCTGTGATGATGCACTGAACCATGACACATAATTTTGTTTTGTTTTGTTTTTAACTGGCTAAAAAGTGGCTTCTTTCTTCACTTCATCCCTGATTTGGAATGTAAGGAAGAATCGTGGCTCAACCCTGCGATTTACTTTATCTTATGCTTTCCTTTGTTTTTTAAGACCCCTAATCAGATTACCAGGAAACTTCTAACAAGCCCAAATGTGCTTTTTCCTCTCTATGAAAAAAATAAAAAAAAAGCAGAGAAGTTGAATATTCACCAGCTGGTATGCAAATGGCTGTTTTATAAACACGTGCAATACCCCTTGTTGAAAAAACAAGTTGTAATCATTTACTCAGTAACACTAGAAGAAACCAACATAGATACCGTTTTGAGGGGGTGAGTTCATAAAAGCAAAGAAGGCAAACCCATACAAAGCTGCTTTCTGAGCTCACAGGTTTTACTTTTTTCTAAGCTCTCCTCATATGAGATGCTCTGTACAATGTACTTATGCAGTACCAAGCTCCAAAGGGGAAACTAATTCTAAGTTCCTCGCTGGCACTTTCTGCTACACCAAATTTGCAGTTACAGTTTTCGTATCTGAAAACATGTGACTCTTTTTCCAATTTGAAGTTATAGAGTTGTCTTCTGTACTGCAGGCACCGGAGCAGTTAACTTTAGGTACAAGATTCAGTCTGACCTGTGGTGTCTGCCTGCCTAACAGTCCAAAGCCAGAGACTGTTTTGTGGTGGAGCAGGTAGGCGGGTGGAGGACTACGGGGCGTTACTGTTGATTTACAGCAACTCTTCTGGTTCTCTCCTGGTGACCGAGGGCACAGGGCACGGCTGAGAGGCTGTTGGGTGCCAGCACTCACTGGGCACACATTAAAGTAGCTATAAGGCTACTCTCATTTGGGCAGTGTTTAGGTTGAGATCAGCATCTAAATTTACATGTAGCTCTTTGTAGGCGTCCACTGGGCTACCCTGGCTGCACTTAGTGACCAGGCCTCAAGTCCCACCCATTCAGGATTCAATTGCCTAAACATACTTCTTTCATGCCATTTAAAGTGCTGTCAAGTAGGCTGCCTAACTTCCAGCTGCTTTATCAGAGGTTGCAGGTCTCCTTAGATCCTCTCTTATCTACCAGCCCTGTGCAGATAGCTTGAATAGCCCAGAGCATCTCAAATTGCACTGGATACCTTTGCCTCAGCCGCTGAACCGAACCGTTTTTGTCCAGGGTAAGCTGCTCCCCGATCTGATTAAGAACAAATGCTGAAAATGCACCTCTTATTAAAATATCCCAAAAGTGAACATGTGCATGAAAGCTCTCTTTTCCATCAAATGCACCACGCGAGATCTGTTACAAACCACGAAAACACAGTAAATGTTGTGTACATTCAGATTGCTTTTCGCCCTTTAATGCAACTGTCCAACCTCACTGATTATTGCACTTGCAAGTGAGCTCTGCTTATCGACCCAAACAGCTTGGTGGCTGCACGTATTTGTCCTGCAGTCAGAATGCAGTAATGTGTTCAGTGGCCTGCCTCTGGCTGCCTGCACTGCTCCAGTACCATGCACAGCCAGCTCACAGCCAGGGAACTTCACCCTGCTTTCCTCTGGAGCTGCTTCGCTGCCAAGTTGTGCTGGCTGCACAAGAATTGAGCGGGTTTTCTGGGGTTTCGGCCACAGACATGACTGAAGCCTCCCAGCAGCCCGTGCCTGCTTCTGCCGTCACTCTTGCTTGCACAAGGGGACGTCTTGCTGAAGAGCCACCTTTGTGCTGTTTTTCTTTGCTTAGCAAACACAAAATGCTTTTGCAGCCGTCTGTGAAGCGGGCATTAGCTTCTACATGATCAACATGTTTGTATGCCACAATGAAGGAAACTAAAAATTTTAAAACAAGTTAAGAGTTCTTTTCAAAGTGATTTTGAGTGATTTAGACTTGAAATGAGTAACTTGAAAGCACCCAAATCCTTAGCTAATAATTAACATGCGAATAAAGCTGAAGAAATGCCTGAGATTCCAGCTACTTCATTTGATTGCCTCATGTTTACACACTGTGGAGCTCTTTCAGGGAGCACAAGATGTTTGTCATTTGGGTTCCCTGGGATGTTGACATATTTTCCAAGGCTGATGGAATGCATTTGCATGTTTTGCCCTACAGAATTGTATGGACCTAACTTGTTTTGACATCTACATGTGAGTTCCATATTAGCCTTTAGACTGCTATTGTAAATGTTGCTTTTAGTTATTGAAAATGGCTTCCTTCCTGCCAGGCAGACAGCATTCAAGTTTTCCAATTGTGATTTTTTTTTTGTGTACACATAGGGTTTTGAACTGGTCTTAGAAGATTAAGGAATGGCTTTCCTTTGAATGCTCAGGATGCAGACAGACGGCTCTGATGCTACTGGCTGGAAATCCTTCGAGAGAGAAAAATGCTCCTTCGTGGAGCATTTTTTAAAAGCATTTTAAAGTAAATGTGCAAATACATGTTACAATTGACAGAATCCTCTAATCCAATCTTCCTCAGCAGCTTAGTGTTATTTTGCTTATATGCCATAACTTGCAGAATTTAGTCATTTAGCAAATAGATCTTGCTAGGATTTCAGGATCATACGAAAAGTGTTGCCTTTTGTGAGATCAAAATCGTCACTGCTATCTGAAAAGAAAAAAGCCAAATTTGACATTCAGCTGATGCATAAGTTGTCCCTGTTAACATGTGTCTATATTGCAAACTACAGAAGGTAATGCACATTTTCCTCACAGGATTGTCATGGTTGTAGGTATTTCTTTTAGGTTGCGGTCCATACGGGCTAGCTTCCAGTTTTGGTCAACATTATCTGCCCAAAAAAGACCAGTTGGCTCTTTTGAATCTTTTTGTCCTATCCAAGTGCTCCTTGTATGTTTACACAGTGGGATTTGGTTGCCTGAACCTATGTGTGGATTGCCGTTTTCAAAGCCGTGGGATAGCCTGCCTGGCCGCCAGCTGGCACTGCGGATGGGCACAGATCCCTGGTAGCTGCTGTGCTGGATCTGCCAGCCCTGTGCAGAGGGCTCAGGCCCTCAACCAGCTTCCCTCCAGAAGAAATAAACATTAAAGATTGCTCTGGGCCTTTTAAATTTAATTTTATTTTTTTTTCTGATGTCCCCTAACTTGAGGATCAGTGTGCTGTAGTTAAGGCAAAAGTGATCACCTCCATGCTGCCCTGAGGTAGGCCTGGAAATGCAGTCTCTTTTGCCAGAGTTCACCAGGTCATGGCTATGGCTCCCACGTCCTTCCTCCCGCAGGAGAAGGAAATCCAAATCTTTGCCCTGTCTCTGTCCTGGCCCTATTTGCTTCCTTCTGCCCCTGTACTTCCCGATGCAGAAGTGGCCCAGCCATGGCCCAGCACACTTGGGGAAGCAAAGTTCAATTTTATTTACATGGCTGAGAGATCTTGTCCCAGCCCTGAAAACATGGCAATTAGTCAGGGCTCAGCTTTAGCCACTGGTTCAGTGGCCTCTGAGTGAGCCCTGCATTGTGTTGTGCTGCAGAATCAGTTCTGCAGGTATTCCCATCCTTAGGACATCCTGATCCAAAATGCTTCACCTCAGCTCTGGAAGGCTAGTTTCACCCTGATTTTGTACCTTCGGCCCTGCTCTAGTAGCGTTTGCTGCTGCCAGGTTTCAAATGCAAGCATTAATTTGCTAATAGGCATGATTTGCGACATTGTTGCTTCAGAGGCAAATGAAGAACCAGTTAAAAGTGTATGATGAGAATATATGAGAAGCAAAAACCCTCAGTTCACGTAATTTCTCTCTCTGTGTCTCTTTTGCAGACAGGACAGGATGGGTCATCCCCGAGACCTACACCCACCCGCATTCCTGTGTCAAAAGGTATGAAAGCAGGAAAGCCAGTAGTGGCAGCCCCAGGAGCAGGAAATGTGACAAAATTCGAGCCTCGTGCCGAGACTCAGTCTATGAAAATAGAACTGAAGAAATCTTCAGGCAGCGGCTCTGGCTCCCTGGGCGGGGGTCAGGGCTGATGGCGGTGGCTCAGGGGGTATGGTATGTTCTGCAGGTGTTACTGCTACCATGAACTCAGCCCCCTGTCTGTGTTTGCCCGTACTAACGAAGCCCGGTCACTTACAACAAACTAATGAGTGTGTGCATTGACTACTTCAGTAACAACATCCTTTTCTTTTATTCATGATTGGGGAAAAAGCCACCAAAAAGGCACTGTATGTCAGGAATATGTTCAGCCGGGGAGGTGAGAACGGGCAACCACACCAAGTTATTAATCCAGCCCAGGAATTCTTAATGATAGACTCGATCAGTTTTAAATAGATCAAAGGAAGATTGGTCACTTTTAATAGATTGTGTCCCATGTTAACAGATGACTTCCCACCCTGGCTACTGGGTAGAGCACCTGCCTGTAACCCCCTTTCTGAGAGGCTGCCCTGTCCAGGGATGCAATGCCAGGATGCAGTGACCTTGAGGTTTTATTTTACTAAAAGGCCGTGCCTCAGGTGCAGGAGGGGGAGGCAGAGAGAACGGACCACTCTTTGTGACCAGCCTTCTCTCTAGGACTCTCTTTTAAATCAGCATTTCTCCCTTGTGAGCTGCTTTCTCAAGGTGGTGACACAAGGGGGTATGGAGGTTGTCCAATGCAGGCAGCAGCAGCACTGAGCAGCAGTGTATTTCTTCCCAAGTGGGGTCCACGCTTGCAGTCAGTACTTACAGTCAGGGTCTCCATTCTCTGACTTTGACTGGGTTACTGCCAGTTCTGGGGCTGGATGCAGGCGAGTGAGCCAAAAAGTGTTTAGTCTTTAAAAAGAGCTTCAGAGAAACATTGATCTGGCCAAAATCAATACAGTCCATTTGTGCCTGCTCGAAAGACCACAGAAGTCTATGAAGCAAGTCATTCAGCTGGCTTCATAAGGTTTGCAGTTTTCCTTGTTGGATGGACTTGTGCTCTGTAGTTATACCTGAGTTCCCAGGCATCCTTATGGGGGACGTTAGAGGGAAAGTCAACGCAGATTGCTGGCAGCAAATTGCTATCTAAAGGCACAGCTTGTGCACGGGCAGTCAGATAGATAGGGTTTGGTATGCGAGTTACTCTCAATTCTCATTTGTTTGAAATATTTTGTCTTAAATACAGACCACCTAAGAATACCATGGAGATTCATCTTTCTTCTCTCTTTGCGATTTCTTCATTTACATGTTTGCATTTTTAAGCATGTTTTAAGGAATTGTTCCAGCATGGAAATGGTGTGGATATTGATGATTGTTATGACTATTTATTTAATAACACTAAAGTTATTAAAGGGCATTTCCATTAAGTGATCAATTTTCACAGGAGAAAGTTACAAACAAAAGAAACTGAGCTGAGCAGGCTGATTTAAAACCTTATTTGGGTTTTAAAGCTTGTATGTCTCAGCCATCACGGAAGACTGTAAAGGACCCACTGGTTAGGAATAGCTTTCGGAAGGAAAGGCAGGAAGACAACGCATAAATAATAAATACAATTCACAGGAAAGAAAATGCACCAGTGGGTGAAATATTAAGTGGCTTTTTGTCTGGGAGAAGAAATTAGATGGAATAATCTGCCACAGAAGGTCAGCAAAATTATATTCAATCCAAGCAATGTTTAGTCTTCAGTCTGTGCTTTGCAGTGCTCTTCAATTTAAGATCCAGATATGGCCATTATCCCAGAGTAAAGCTGGCATTTTTTGATTCACATGAAGGACACTTGTCTGTGATGTAAAAGCTGCTGTCATATACAAAAAGAAACAGGCTTCCATTTCTACATGTGTGTAGCACCTGCAATACCTGCTAATTTTAAGGTTCTGGATCCTATGACATCTGCAAATCAGATTCACTTGAGCAGCATTTTTCGTAATATTTGAGAATTTCAGATAAAACTTGGAGACTGGAATTATCAAGCGGTGTGGTTTACCATGCCAGAAATGCATCAGATCCTCTCAACTAAGTGTTATCACTTAAAAGCTTCAATTTGTCAATAAACGGTTGCTGAGATCTTACTGTTCTTGTACGATAGACTTGTATTTTGTAAGATAACGAGATTGTAAGATAGACTTTTCAGCAGATGTTTGAAGAAAACACGTTATTAAGAGCTTTTAGCTGGATAGTCACTCTAAATACTGGCACTGAAGCAAGCCTTTAGTTCAAAACAGTCATTTAAATAATACTGCAAACATGAGCCCCAAGCTAATGTGGCTTGATACAGTGATGAGCTACAGCTGGCTTAAGCCTTCCTTCTCAAATATTTTTTTCAAATAAATTAGCTATTCCTTAGTTAACTGTTGTCATACCCAGGACAATATTCTACCTGTGCCTGTGGTTGAAAAATTTGTTTTGCCTAACATCCGAAAACACTATTTCACCTGAAGAAAGAAGCCAGACTTAAAGTACCTGAAATCCAGGACATGAAAATCAACACAACTGAACCAGAACTGCAGGCACAAGCTAAGAACTGCGCTTGTAGAGTCAGTAGGATTTTATGAGACAGACTTGAGAAATTCCAGACAGGTCAGACCAAGGATCCTGTTATTTTTCCCAGGGGCAGCACAACAAAAAGGAACTTTTGCTCCACAGCCAACCCAGCAGAAGTCCAGGGAGTTGGAATCAGGCAACTAGTTTGACTGTTGGCTAAAATTATGTATTTAGTTGTACTGAACATTTTCTAACATCTGTTTTAATTGACCTGAGATTTTTGTTTCTTAAAGTCAGAAAAAAAAAAAGAAAGATGATGATACCATAAAAACGTAGAGCCTATAGTTTAGAAGTCTTAACAGTTGAAGGCTCTTGGGACTTCAACAACACTGAACATGTCAACCACTTTCAACCTGACAAAGCAACAGAGGTCTCAAGAGGAAGGAGTTCTTCCAGTTTAATGAAGAGGGTGACTGAGAGAAGGAGCAAGACCTTAGCAGAACCCTGTTGCACGAAAAAATGTAGCATGAGCTCACCTTCGCACAGTATCAAAGAACAAACACAAGAGAGTGACGGCAGAAATGCCACAAGGACAAGCTTTGCTCAGACCTCAGATTTTACTCGGCACCAAAGGATCAAACTGTGAGACATAAATCCATAGGAAATTACTCAGGGCCTTTATTTATGGGGCTTCATTTTGTGTATTTTACATAACTGGATTACGCTGCAGAAACCAATCTTCCTCTGGCCAGGTGACCATCAGGGATTACTCATCCTCATGCTTTCTCTCTCTTCCCTTTTTCTCTGTATTGATTTTTGTAATGAAGTGGAACAGTTTCAGTAACAAAATGCATTCAGCTCAGAGTAATAGTAGGTGGTTATGGTGGTCTTTGAAACAGGGGAGACACAGACTTGAATCCCTTCAGGCACAGGTGAAATTGAACCTACAGCCTGCATATTATGGAACGCTTCTCTCACCATGGAATTTTGGTGTAAGAAGTGAAAATTTCTAGTTCTTTCCCTGTCTTTTAAGATCTTCACTATTGTAAAGACATTGAGAGAATGGGCCTGCCTGATTTTCTGTTTTCATGAGATTGTTACGGCCTGTGAGTGTGTAACAGAGGAAGGAGCCTCTGGCAAGGCTTAGCAAGACACCTGAACCTCAGAGGCGGGGCAGGATTCAGAAGTTACAGCTTTGTACAGCTTTGTCCTCAGCATTACACTTTTGGCTGGGTTTAGGTGTCTTCCTGCTCAGCATGCTTTTTTTTTTTTTTTTTTTTTTCCTTTTTTTTTCCTTTTTTTTTTTTTTCTGGATCCAGTGCTGAGTTCTGTGCTCTTTGTGGGTGATAAAGATGACAAGGCATCAAATACGTAATTCTTAATTTCAGTAGAGGAACCAGCTTAGCAAAAGCAAGACCGTGGTGCCATGAACATTTAAAGCAAGCAGAAAACCTCCTCTTTGCCATGCCTCCCCCTGTTGCCTAGTCACAGCAGTGCCAAAGACCTTCTTTGAATCCAGTCACCGTTGAAAATCCATGTTACTGCCTGAGATGTGCTACATGACCTCTAAAACACGCTCAGTATTTACACGGCTATTTGGTGGTTCTGATCAGAAATTGAAGCGTGTGTCTTCAGAGAGAGCAAGTCACCATCCTGCTGCGTTTCAGGTGCTTGGCACAAGCTGCAGCAGTCAGGACAATTTTCAGACCAATTACATGTTCCTATCACACACCAGTGGCCGATTTCACTGAGTCAGTTTGAAACCTGTAGTTTGCTGGCAGGAGTTTCTGTGAGCTCATCCTCTGAACTCATTTTCATTTAGGGGAATGTTTTTTTTTCCCCTTTGGCAGTGTGAGTTATCCTCTTCCCTTAATTCTGACTGAGCTCACTCTTTCAGACCTGTATCCAACATATCTGATCATAGATGTTCACTTCATTTTGAATTTCTCTTGCTACCTACATGCTGCTCTTACTTGTTTTTTTTTTTTTTTTTTGGAATATGCAAGCAGGGTTAAATACTCACAGATTCAGAGCTGTCAGCTCTGAGATTCAGGTATGAATTGTTCAGGTATGAATGGTTCCTCCCTTTAAAATTTCTTTTCAACAGGGTTTTAAAAACAGAAATACTGACACATGATTTGCTTCTGTTATTTGGGTGTGCACTTTCTGTGGTACATACATTTCTGTATCATTTGGTGGTGTTTGTATATATTGTAAGAAGAAATTAAACTTTGTATATAAAAATTCTATCAGTTGATGTGGTTCATTATGAGAATTGGTGTTTTTGATAGGCCAGCTGTTAATGCTGTGTTTCCCTAAGAAATTCCAGTTTACATCAGGGAGACTGAAATCAGAATTAGCATTTTTACATTAACATACCTTGGTTCTCTTTTTCTGTCACTAAAATAAATTCAGTTGCATTTAAGTGAACTCACAGCACCTTGAAATGTCCAGACCTATAACCCCAGACAAATCCATGTAATCATATCCTACAGATATCATATTCCTACAGAGGTTACACCTACAGAACTCTGACAAAATCTACCCTCCTATAATTTCAGTTTAATAACTGTTCAGGCACCTATTTTAGTTACTACAGTATGTATATAATATATACACATTACATATATAACATTTATATATTATATATATAATATATTACATTACATATATAACATTTCAATACAAAATAAATGCTTAGAAAAAACAATACTTGCAAACACATACGTGTGTGAGAAATTAATGAAAAAAATAATAGTGGAAGTAGATATTATATATTTTTAAAATATCTTTCCTACCCTTTTCTGCAAAAATGTTATATTTAGGCTGTAGGAGGAAGACTGATTCAGAAACCTATTATGTTTTTGCTGTTCATTTAGTAATTGCACCTTTGCAAGGAAGATGATACTTTCAGCAGCCCATTTAGTTCTTAGAATTTTGTAACTAAACTCTGGATTAATAGAGAATGTGCAAATTGAATATTAAGAAAGTGTTTTTATAGAGTTCATGTGACTCCCACTGAAGTGAAAGGGAGATTTCACCTGAGGTTATAATCTGATACTAATTAAATGCAGCTTTTTGCATCCTCTTCAAGAGCTTAAGTTAGAGAACAGCACTGGTTGTAAGGTAATTTTTTTACTGTAGTTTGTGGTTCTTTCATATTCATTGCTTGAGTCTCTGAGAACAGGTATACTTATATTTTTGAAAATTATTTTTACTGATAAATTATATAAAAAGGAAATGCTTTTACTTCAGAAATTCTACTATTTCATCTGACATACTGTACTTTCCTGAATGCTGCCTTAAATCCTGCTGTTCTAGCTCAGCGTGGATGAAAAGCATAACTGGAATCTGCCATCTAGTGGAAAAGATCTGGCATGACGAGTACATGAAAAACGGCGATTCTCTTCCTTCTAACATGTAACTAATTCAAGCACCTTGCAAATATTTGCAGGCAAAGGCAAAAGTCAAGGCAAATGTAAAAGGCAATAAAGACCTGGTTGATGTAATGTCTTAGGTTAGCACACTTTTTGAAAAATCTTCAGGCTATTGAGAAAGAAAATGTTGCCTGTCCGAGCTGTGTGCTCAGAAGAACCGAAGACCAGGTGATCACCTTGTATTTCAGCAGAGCCTGGAGATTAATCTGGAAGCTCCCGTGTTACACAGAGCAAAGTTAAACCCAGCCTTTCAAAGACAAGGCAAACACTTTGTTTTGCATACTGTGGGTGGAATTTATGTGCATTTAAGTTAATAGTGTCAATTCATGGAGACCTGCTGAATAAAATCAGCATAGGTTTCTGAAGCAAAATTGAATTAAAAACAAGAAATGAGCCCATACGTCTTTCTCATCCCTACTTCAGATTCGTCAGCTGGGTTTTGATGGCTTTGCTCAGATGGGATGCAAGAGTCCCAATTTCAATCATCCTCTACCTGATGCAGGCGTGAGACTGGAACTGTTGTGTTCCAGTGGTTCAACTACACAATATTCAAATATATTGTTCTTTTTCCCTACGGATGACCAAGTGGTGGCCTTGACACTGAAGTGGAAGTCGAGGGCTCCTGAGCCTTATCCTGGTACTAACTGAGGTTCCCCTGGTAGCGCTAGTCAGTGCACTTTTAATCAAACAGGGATGTGAGAGCAAGTCTACAAGATAGTTCTTGAAGAAAAATGCATTGCCGATGTAGTTGTTCTTCTTTATAGTGACTTGCAACTTCTCTACAGCTTCATAAAACCAAATGTTTTGCTATCTTTTCTTTTAGAGAGCGTCATCATTCACCAGTTACGCATGAGCTCCAGATGAGTTACCAGCCCCGTAGATTCTCTCTGTGTGCGCTGCCCTCCTTGCCAGTTGGATGGATCATTGGAGAAGCTCTCTACCATCAACACCAGGGTCACTTGTGCTACTGATTCTTCGTGGAAGTATTTATTGCTTCCATTACATTTTATGTATTTTATCTTGGTAGAGCTTTAAGAACGAAGGGCCTTGCTGATATTTTTGAAGGATACAGGCCGGGATACAGGGGGAAAAGCAGTCTTTCTGCCAGCTGAATTTCACTTTTATTTGCAAAGCCTAAGGCACGCGCTTGATTTCGTTTGATGTTTGCTATATAATTTATTTTTATAATACACTTTGTAAAGTAACTGTCCCGAAGTTGCAATTCCTGTTGTCCATGGCGCATTTATTTGTAGAATACACTGTCAAATTTGCAATTCGATATTTTTGTAATATAGAGTATGTAAAGAAAGAAAAATTTAACTTCAACAATGTTTTGTTTTTAAATGAAAAAATAACTCAGCGCAATTTTTTGCCACCATATGATTCTGTGAGACTAAATACTCTGAAGACTGCTGTATGGAACTTGTACTATTGCAGAATATTTCTTGCACTGTGTGATGGTTTGGCATAAAACTATTAACTATTAAAGTCCAATGTCTTGAAATACAACCAGATTTACTCATTTTAAACAATGTAAGCCGGTTTTTAAAGCTGTGATTTTTTTTCTATATAATGTATGTTTTTATTCTGCCTGTACCAAAAAAGTTGATTTTCACTACACTGTAACTAATAAATTTTCACAACTATGCAAATGTAAGCGTTTCAATTTTAACTCTATTTTCTTAATGTTGACAGTCTTTGCATACACATTTGTTTATAGGGACATGATGTATGGCTTTGGAAGTGACTTTTTCTGACAGGTATTTCACTGCAGTATCACAGTGACGTACCTAGTAAAACCGCCTCTAATATTGTTTATGATCCGAAGAGGGATCTATCACCAAGCACTCAATGACATAATCGTGCTAACCTGGTGCTCTCACTGCTTTGGCAGATAGGTTCAGTTGATACGATCAGACTGTTTAGTGCACGACTAACAGGACTGTATACATGAGATGCCATGTGGTGAAATCAGCGTTTTACACTGGTGGCTGTAGCTTTTCAAATAGCACCCAGAGACTTCTGTGGCAGCTACACTTAAAATGATTTTTGAATGAATTACACGTAAAGCTGGATAAAATGTCAGATCTTTTTTTTTTTTACTTTCCTTTTTTTTTTTTATTATACATTTCATAATAAATTACCTTTAATCTAAGTCGTGGGCACATATTTAAAATACCACATTTTTTTTTTTTTAATTGTAGAAGCTACTGGGAGAAACTATTTTTTGGAAGAGAAAGCAGCGTTGCTTGCAGGAGATATGTTGTGGGATGCCAGAAAAAGTGCATTAACTCAGTGTCCCACTGAGATGAGTAGGCCAGTTACCTTTGAAGCTGGAATAACGCATTGGTACATAGCCAATTTGATCTTCATGCTTTAGCTTGCTTGCCAACCATGGGAGCTATTTTATCTCCTATATACGAGCTCCGCACCAAATGTTGAAACTGTAGAGAGTCAGGATATTTTTGGACCTGTAGGAACTCTCTTGGAGTTGATCTGCACTGCGAGGAGATAGCCAATGCAGCTCTACTGAGTAATCTAAACAAAATAAATGCTGTTTATACTTACCAAACTAATTTGTTGCTATAGCTTTTGACTACACCAGGACTTCAGCAGGTAGGCCTTTTTTTAATTTTATTTTTAAATTTTTTTTACAACTGACAATTACGTAGCTGTGTCTGTAGGTCAAATTTTAGAGTGAGTTTAGAAGAATTCCAGCTTTCAGAGAGTAATAGAGCTTGGGGTGAATCATGTTTAGTATGTGCCATGTTTCAATTTACTGTGCAGTGGAATGAACATAGTGCTGACCCAAATCTTCTAGTTTCAAAGCATCACTTGTGAATCCAGAACTAACCGTGAGCTCACCTGGAATGAAATTGCCAGCTATTTGAAAGTGACAGTGACATGCCTGAAATAGTTTTGCAGTATGAGCAACATATAATACAACCTTACTTTGAAGTTGAGACAGGATTAAAAAAGATCCTATCAAAGTAGAAAATACTTTCCTTGTCTAGATTTTAATATAAAGCTGATTCAGTATGAGTGTATGTACAAGTTGTCCCCTTTTGTTTTATGATTCCTAAACAAATACATAAACTTTTACGGTTTCGCAAATGCATTACGTTTTTAAGCTTTAAAAAATAAAGACTTGTTTAAAGCATAAATATAGTTGTGGTGTATTTGAAATCTTTTAGATTTTAAAATACTGTAGATGAACTGCAGCACTTTATCAGAATGGCAATGCTGGTCGTAAAAGGTCAGTAGTGACACACACTATTGCATCATTGATAGTGGTTTATGCAGGTAAAATAATAAACTCTGATCTGACACCTGGCAAGCAGCAAACTATTTCATTAAAATGCCTGGTCAGTAAAACTCCTGTGTGCAAGGGGTGCTTTGACAGGTGTATTTCATCCTTGGTGCATTTATGTTCCTGGGCATTTTTTTAAACCTTGCCTAATCTGGATTTGAATCTAAAACAAGTAAACTAAGTGCATTAGCCACATAATTAGCTAATACTTTGGGAATGCTCAGGAAGAAATGTATCAATGTAGAATGAAAATGTGGTTTATTTCTAAAAGTATTACAATTTTAAAGAAAGTAATCATGCAGTGTTTTCAGACAAAGACAACGTACCTGGGACTACAGATACCAGTAGTTTATAAGCAACTCAAAATTGGTGAAAGATCAGCTTTTCCTTTAAGAAACTCTAACTGTCTACAGAGGATTGAAAGACCTGTGTTAGTATATTAGGTGATAAAATATGACACCCATTAAAAAATCTCAAATACTTTGATTTCTAGAGAAAAACTCTTTCACAGCCACTGAGTTTTCCATTTGCCTCGTCATGAAATGTGGTTAGACATAGAGGAGACAAAACTACCTGCTTTGTAGAACAGCCTGCAATGTAGAAAACAAGATATAAAGAGAAAATTGAGGTTACTGCCCTGAATGTTCCACTTTCTACTATTAATTTCTGGGTTTTAGCTCTTCTTCTGAACAGTAACATTTAATTTTAAACTGAAGACTTTTTATTTAATGCTTGATTTCACCTGCGTAGATTTGTTCACTGAAATAATCCATTTGGCAGTTAATGCATTTTATTTGCCTTAATTGACTATTTTATGTATTAGCGGTTCTAACAGCATGAAGTTTTATTTCTTTAGATTTTATTTTAAAGAGCATCAATTATTTACATTTTTTTTTCCAGAAATAAATGGAAAATGTTATAAGGTAAGTGTCAGAAGAAGATCATTTAGGGGTGCTTAATAGAATTCAATTAAAAAATAAGTGTCAATTGTTGTTTAGATTAACCACAATACATTCATTTTTGTAATTTTTGTACAATTTTAAGGCTCATTTAATACCCTCAAAATCAGACTTCAGTTTTCAAAGTCCAATTTTGTGATTTCAGCGTTTGGTTTGAGGTGGTCTGATGTGTATTTGTTTCTTCCTTGTCTTAAACATTAGCATGTGTAACACATTGAGGGTTTGACTGTGTAATATGCCTGCAGCATTCATTGCCAAGGTAATGCCTAATGAATCCATTTGCCATATCATATATTAAAAAAGAGCGTTATAAGTGTATGTTTTTGTAAGTATTTATTTCTATATCTGTTTTTCTTATAACTGTGCACAGACCAGTACAAGGCACACAATATTGCACAGCACCTCACTTTAAAATTTCATGAGCATGAACTATGTTGGTTGGACTTGCCTGGATATAAATTTATTTCTCCTAGCGTAAAACTACAGAATAATATCCATCCAAGATGGTTACAGGCAATAAAGTAGTGCCAATATATTGAAGTATTCGTGCTGATATTCTTTATTTCTCTAAAGAATGGAGGTAAGATATACCTTGTGATTGTATCCATATTTAGGTTCTGAGAATATGATTACCTTGGTAAAAAGAAGAACAAAACAAAACAAAACATGCTTGTAATTAACCCTGTTGTTACAATGAAAACATATGTGTGGGCTAAGCTTATAGATGAGCATATGCCATTTGATACAACTAATTGGAAAAAAGAAAAAAAAAAAAAAAAAAAAAGCCATAACTATAAGATCTGATCTGCATGGTACATTAAGTTGTTTTTCTCTTTCACATCATACAGAATGGAGAAGAGAGTCTAGTTTAGATGGTTCCCTTCAATTACTTTTCAATATGGCAATACTTGTCCCAAAATCAGGACTCGGCAAGTATGTGCACCCTACACCTTTTTGAATGCAAACTGTTCAGAATCTGACAGCATTAAAAAGGCAGGTGATTCTACTGGGAAAGAAAGTAGGAAATTCTCCTGATCTCTCAATCTCACACATTTCCCAGCTTTATCCTTGGCCTTGTGGCTATGGCTCCATTAGCACATCAAATGGAGCAGATCAGCATATGTAAGTACTGAGCCTGTTCACATCTTCATTAGAATCATAAAATCATAGAATGGCTTGGGTTGGAAGGGACCTTAAAGACCATCCAGTTCCAACCCCCCTGCCATAAGCAGGAACACCTCCCACTAGACCAGGTTGCCCAAAGCCCCATCCAGCCTGGCCTTGAGCACCTCCAGGGATGGAGCTTCCACAGCTTCTCTGCGCAGCCTGTGCCACTGCCTCACCACCCTCTCAGTAAACAATTTCTTTCTTATATCTAATCTAAATCTCTTCTCTTTTAAAGTGTCACTATAATCCCTGACAAAGAGTCCCTCCCCAGCTTTCCTGTAGACCCCTTTTAGGTACTGGAAGACCACCATAAGATCTCCCCAGAGCCTTCTCCAGGCTGAACAACCCCATGTGGCTCAGCCTGAGGTCCCATCCGTTAGTCCTAATTTGACATTTCCTTGGATTGGATTTAGTCTGGTCCCCTGGGCTGTAGTTGTTTTTTGTTTGTTTGTTTGTTTTTTGAGGAAAACTTTCACACCAGGCTGTGTTTCTTGATGGAGGGCCTCCCTGCAAGATCCTCTAGGAAGTGCCCCCCTATTGTGTCTGTTCCACATAAACGATGGTGCCATATTTTGTCACTGTGGCCCACCGCCCTGCATCGCTCATGTGGCTGTTCCCCATGGGCTGTCAGAGCCCATGCCCAGCGTGACCGCTTGCTTGCAGAACAGAAGTGGAAAGTGTATTTGGTTGTCTCATTCCATGATGACAGGCCCCGTTTTATGGACCTTGTGCCAAAGCTCCCAGCACCATCCCTGTGGTGCCCTGTGTGTCTCTGCAAGGATGAACAGATGTCTTTCCACCAAGTTTCTTCCGGGGCTGTGTTCAGCCCTGTCAGTGGTTGAGGTGGTCCTTCACTGATGGAGGCCATAAAGATGCTGGGTGTCTAGGAAGGGTCAGGGTGGCATGGGGGGAATGTGATCAGCCCTCGATCCTTTTTCCTGAGTGGTTAATAAAATGCAGAAGTTAAAAAGGCACAGATTCCCACCAGAATTCAATGTGCCCCTTCTTGCCACTCCTCTTGGACCTGGCATCACGAGGCTAGCATTTTGCTGCCATCTCACAGCACAGGTTTACAAGCAGGATTATTCCCTCAGCAAATTTTTTGGGGGGGCTCAGGTGACACAAGCTGCTGTAGCTGATGGCATAAGCCAAAAGATAATAATGAAAAGGGCTGTAATAGGGTGAAGGGGCTTGGCTATGGGGAACAACAATGGCAGGTAGGCACACCAGAAGCTGTGAGGGATGTGTTAGGGACGAGATACAGTTGCGGCACAGCCACTGCAAGGAATACGATTCATTTCGGAGCCGTAGATAATTGCTGAGGCCCCAAAGCGACTTAATTGTAAGTTTTAGGTGCCCAAAAACCCAAGGCGCCCGACGACCGCCGAAACGGGACATTTGCTCCCCCCAGCGCTCTCCGCCGGTATTTCGGATGCCCCCACGAGCCACACGGCGCTTATTTGGGGGAAAGCCGGTCTTAAAACACTCAAAAAGCGCCGCCTGTGCGACGTGCTTGTGAAACTGCTTCATTTTTATTTCTCCTGAAGGCCACACTAACGCAGAAACAGCGTGCTGGGGGGCGGATTTTTGAAGGGGAAGCGCAGATAAGAACCAGAAACGCGGTCGCTCAGCGCAGCGCCGCCTCCCCGTAACGAGCCAACCGACTAACGAGCAGCGCCCATTACGGGCAGCCACACCCCTCCCTCACAGCTCGGCGGGAAACCCGCCCCGCCGCACTGCGCATGCGCACCCCCTAAAAGGGCGGGAGGGAGCCGCTCCCCTTTTCCCCCAGGCAGCCGTGAGGAGGCTGCGTCACCTCCCAACCGCCCGGCGGTCACGTGGCGGGGGCGGGTCACGTGTGGAGGGCCGGTCACGTGTGGGGGGCAGGTCACGTGTCGAGGGCGGCGGCGGGGCGGGCGGGTGTCATGGCGGTGAACTACAGCGCCAAGGAGGAGGCGGACGGGCACCCCGCGGCCGGCGGCGGGGCCCAGGGGGGCAGCGGGGCGCCGGGGGGTGGCGGGGGGACAGGAGGAGGAACAGGGGGAGGAGGAGGTGGTGGAGGGGCGGTGAAGAGCCGCAAGCCGGACAACACGGCGTTCAAGCAGCAGCGGCTGCCCGCCTGGCAGCCCATCCTGACGGCGGGCACCGTGCTGCCGGCATTCTTCGTCATCGGGCTCATCTTCATCCCCATCGGCATCGGCATCTTCGTCACCTCCAACAACATCCGCGAGTACGAGGTGCGTATGTACGGGGTGTGTGTGTGTGGGTGTAGGGGCCGCGCCACCCTACACGCCACAGCTGGGGTGTCCCGCAGTCACGGGCAGCGTGTGTTTAAACAGCTTGTCTGTAAACAGCTTAACTTTACAACTCTGGGTATTACAGCCTTAAACAGTCCCGGGTAATATAGTTTCAAGGTAGAGCTCTGCACTGAGCGTCCTGCTCCAGTTCTTACGTGTACAGGTGAGTTAATGTTTCAGGTGCTGCGTGGGAGGCCGGTGTGTCAGGAGTGGGTTGGAAAACAAACTCTGGAGAGCGTAGCCTTTCCTGGTTATACCTGCAAAACCTCAGAGCCTTTTATAATTCATCACACTGCTGTGAAAAGCTGCTGAGCGTTAACCCCAAAACTAAGCTATACATCACTCTGAAGTTTGATAACAGAATTGCTTTGTGTTATAAGGAAACAACCCAAAGGGCTCAGAGACAACCTTGAAAAGGAAGTTGACAGCTG